GCAGGACAGCCAAAGCGTTTGGCCACTGTCACAGCAAGTACACAGAGAGAGATTTTGAGTAACACAGATACCCAAGGCTTGTCAAGTTTAAGGAAACTGCACAGAGTTACACCAAAGTTTTACTCACAAGAGTATACATGCATGAAGAAAAGGGTGTGCTACACCGTGATATTATAACATCAACGGAAAATGACAGAGGTCATGAAAGAACAAGTAGGGAGCAGTCATATCTGGGTAATTTCACTTAACACATTCGTAATGTGCTTGTACCATGCTTGGCTTCCGCACGTTTCCATCGTTTGTATATATTCCCATTTACCATGCTGTTTGATGCCACCGTACCCCAGTACACGGGTAAGGCTAAACACTTCATGTTTGGTACTGTAACAATTAATATAGGTTTCTTTGGCTAATATTACTACTTTGCATAACAAAGTACTGTATCCGGTATATTTTTTTATACATACAAGTCTTAAAATAATCTACATCATACGTTTATCTTATCGAACAATCCTATCCCTCCTTACTGCCCACAGTACTTTGTCAAGCTATCCACAATGCATTCAAAATTCTGGTTTCTGTGTAATGCATACTGAATCTGTTTTCAGGGATGATTTTTTTGTTTACAAATCCCAAAAGTCTGTCACGATGGAATGACGTTGGCCCCACACTCGCCAGAGAAATGTACGGTCTAATCGTTTAACTGATGCTGTTAACAATAACAGATTACGTAAAATCTCTGAGAATTAGCAGCTTTAGATGTATATTGAGAGTTAATGGCCACAACTATCATGTACATGTAGCGACTCAGGGGTCAAAGGTTATCAACGTTAAAGCTGTATGCTGTTAACACTATGCAGGCTATTTAACTTGTAATGTCTTTGGGTTTGCTGCCATTTATCAATTAAATATTGCTAGACATTGTGTTAAAGAATTGGTGTTTTTGCAAGATTGCATTTAAAGGTGCAACTCTGTGATGAATTCACTTAGTGAAAGTAACCATTTGTGTTTTGCTTAATCTCTACAAGTAGTGTAGATTACCAATGCTCATTGAATTTTGTTGTTGTGTTAGGGCTTCTGTCAAGCAGTCTGCATGCTGCCGCCCTTACCCTTACCTAACCTTTCAAGTTCAAGTTCAACAAATAGACAGTGATAAAGCTGTAGACATGTGTTACCACTGAACCTGTGTACACATGCAAGAAGAAAAGGGTGTGCTACGCAATGATCAGGTCATGAGAGATCAAGTAGAGAGCAAGGCCATAATGGATGACATCTTGTTTTGAGTAAGTTGAGGAAGAGAGATTAATAATCATGAAGTAATCTCTCACATTTTGGACACAAGATCAGAGAAAAAGCGTAGAGTTTGATTCAGAAAAAAACCAGGGCAATCACGGATCTCAAGACACAGAATTACACCACATGGTGGAAATGATCAACTACTTGAGCTGATGTCTGAAGGATCAGTCTGTGGTCGTGAAGCCTATCACTGACTGTAAGTCTGCTGTTGCATGGACATGGGGAATCCTTTGCTAGAGTCAAAGATATGCCGATATTAGAGCTTGTTCTGCAATTCTATAATGTCAAAAAATCTACAGTGGTTAGTGCCGATGGGGCTATTCTCATACTGCAAAACGGAGATAAGCTTCTAAAACTGGTATATGCTTCTGCTGAAAATGAGTATGCACAGATTGAAAAAGAATGTCTCGCCTCAGTATGGGCTTGTGAAGAATTCTCACTGATTTCCTTAAACCTGATGACGGAGTACAAGCCATCTGAGATTCAGCAAGCTACAAAAAGGGACCCTACGTTTTAACCAGTGATGAAGATGATGTTTGTAGAGATGGGAGAATAGGGACAATATCTAGCAGTTTATCATAGTTTTATATTCAGATTTTACAGCTTTAGACTGTAACACCCATTTTGGGCATATTTTGGATTATAAAATCCCATGAAAATATTTTGACAATAAAATAATTTCATCATTAATTCAAATATAAGAATGGCTGTGAAAGCATATTTTGTGATATTGTCCTCTGTTGTAAGTAATCTGATGCAGTGATCTGTTATAGTTTCTAGGGGAGTTTTGTGGATTCAAGGTACACTTTTTCGACACAATGTTGTGTCAGCTATGACTCGTATGAAATAATTTGGCAGTAAATGTATTTTACAGAACTGTCGATTCAAACATGCAGGAATTACACGTCATGTAAAACCCTGATATTGCCTATCGATGATAGATTCTCAGCCATATGTCTTATAATCAGGGACATACCACCTCACCTCACTACGTGAAGGTTGTTCAATATGCCATGGAACTGACAATATTCTACACAGAGAGAGATGCCATTGATCGAAGCGGATTACATCCTGGATAATTATCATGAGTAATGTATCTCTAGCAGACCCGGAAGGGTTGCTTGTAGAGACATCTTGGTAAACAGTCCCTCCTGGATTCCGCGATGAATTTCTAAGAATTCCGCGGCAAATTTAAGTAAATTCTGCATCCCATTTTTCAAAATTCTGCAAACTTCTGTGAACATAATTAGAGTTAGAAATTCAAATAATATTATTTTAAGGTGTTGAAGAAAATATTGCCTCATGGAAAAATCACCTTTATTCGTGAATATTTTGAAAATATCATTACAACAACTGTCTCAGTTCGTTTTTGTGTAACCAATTATACTTTTGACATTTACCCCTACTTTTTGTTTTGGTTGATAGTCAATCTGATTTAACTTTCAAAATAAGTAAATTCCACGGCAGAGAAAAAGGCAAATTCTGCAGGTATTCTGCATGAAAATGTGTTTTCCGTGGACCAGATGTTTTTCTGCATCTAAAGGTAATTTCCGTGATTTATTCTGCAACCGGAAAGGAATCCAGGAGGGAGTTAAACACTGGATGAACAAACAAACATACTTTGGTAAATACAAACATACTTAGATAAAATGACCACAAAGTCTTTCATACTGCTATAGCAAATGTTTCATGGCATGAATGATTAATAATAGTAACATAACAGAATGAGTGATTCTTGATATGTTTTGTGTAGTATAGAATTGTTTAAGACTAGCTTGTTTTCGTTCAGTGTGTAGTTACATTAATTATACACATACAACTCAAAACATCTAAGAACATGATATTTGCATTTGAGTATTGTTATGAAAAAATCAATATTCTTTCTCTTTTTTGGAGTAGCATATTTTCTTAAACAAAATTTGAAAGCTTGTTTATATACTGTTGTCAGTAGTTGGGAAATATGTAGAAAACAAATCCGTCATGACACAGAATGCTATACAGAAAGCCCCAGTAATCTGGACACTGTTAATACAGACCACCCAGTAATATGGACAATAACCGTCTGTATTGTCTACATATATAAAAGGGACATTATGCTGTAAGTTTTGTTAATTTAAGACCCCCACCCAGTTATATACACTATATGTCCTCATGTTAAAGACATGATATTACGCAGTTGCACGTTTTCATTATTCTGGAAATTTATTCATCTGAACAATATCACTGTGAGCCATGCTGTCTGGATTAATTGGGTTCTACTCTAAAAACCCTGATATAAATAAGACACAGACTTCCTGACATTTTGGTTATATATTCAGCATTGTTTAGCACATGTGTTCCAGAGACAAGTTGTAGACAATTACACTTGCATGGGATTTGAACCCACAGCCGATAAACTGTTCCTCAGGTGTTCTACATAGTCCACTGACCATTCCTTATGTAATGTCTTCATTAAATTAGCCAGTGGACTAACAGGACAATATAAAAATACATCTCATGTCTAATCTGTAAAATAGAATCTAAAATGCAGATTTCAGAAAACAGAACTTAAACATAACTCATTTGTCAGACATAACAATAAACTGATGCTGAAATAAACATGAAAAATTATTTCATTTGACTTTTATGCATGTTCTGATATGAAAGTACCATTCATCACTGACTAAAGAAAGCACTGAATCTCACATTAACTCTATTTACACATAAAATATACACCATATGCATATAATTCAATGGCATTGAGAGAATCAAAAAGGAAGTGTTCTGATTAAATGCTCATATTGCTAAAACTATCTGTAAACATCATATAAATTGCTATCACAAAATAGTCCATGAGAAAAACTTCTATGGATAAATTCTATACTTGATTTAGTAGCACCTCATGGTTGAAACAACAGACACATTAACACAACAACCGACACATTAACACAACAACATTATATCAGGATTAACAACAATAACTCACATATGTAAACAACAGTTATATCGTAGTGCCCAGAGTTGACTTGCTGTCAGTGGGAAGCACAGTGTCTAAGTCAGCATCTAAAGGATTTGGCAATTTGGCTAAGGGCAACGGTCAGTCACAGCAACTTGGACGTCCAAGTAAATAATTAACTTAATATATAAAATGCATGCTGTGCAAATCATTTTCATAATGCATCATCTGTTTTCATATTTCATGGTTAACATAAATAAATCAGCACCAATCTTGTAGAAAGCATTCTTAGTAAATACACCACTGTTGGGACATGGCTGGACCCATGGTTCTGATTAGAACTGGTCTTCAGCAGGTTGTAAAGAGGTGACTAACAGGATTGGTTGATGCATATCATTGAATCCCTGTTGCGTTGATCGATGGTCCAGATGTCAATCACTGGATTGTTTGACCCAGACCAGTGTGCGAAATAGTTTCCAAATTTTGCTAGCCAGTTGGCCTAGCTATGCCTGAAAGTTACTGGCACACAAAATAATTCACTAGTCCGAAATTTGACAGGGATTTCATCAATAAGCTGCGAATATGATTTAAAAGCGTGTTATAACTTAACAAGTTGGAGAGAGTGATATATCTACAAAATGACCCCATGAAAATTTACTAGCCAGTCTGGGCCAGTGACTGTGGAGACTTACTGGCCTGACTGGATTTTTACTAGCCACAAGCTATCAGGCCAGTGGCTATTTCACACACTGGTCCGGACTGAATTATTTACAGACTGCTGCAATATAGCTGGAATATTGCTGAGTGCAGCAAATAAGGAAGGTAGACAGGGTGGCACATGGGTGAGTGAGGTAGGGGAGTGGCGTGGTTTAACGTGCAAAACATGATACACAAAACATAGTTATTCACCTTGGTACAGTCAATGTGTACCTGGGATGCAATAAGATACATCGTATTGTACCCAGAGTTTCACATTTGTATCTCTTTGTAACTGGGTACTGACTCAAAAATACTGCCATAAACATGTGTCTAAATTGCATTATTTTCTGCTTAATGTGAAAGTATAGAAAAAGACAACGATCTAAAGGAGATCACTTTTGGTTCCACTGGCATGACTAGGTATTTTACACACTAACTTTGAAATGGTTGACAAATGCAATCACTTTGGTAAAAACTTCTCTGAAAAAGAATCTGAATACATAACACGTGTTACATAAATCTGAATACAGTATAAACATAGCTGTGTTGATCCACTGAAATAAGATTCAGAGACACATGTGTGTCTCCTGTTGTATAAACCTATGAGTGTCTACAGACTGAAGTACCCTTAACTCCGGTCCCTCCACCCTGGATGAGGCATCATCCGTCCACCATCAAGTCAGCACATTGGTCAGCCTGGTTTCCCGGAAGTCGTCACTGACCACAGTTTTGTGGCCGATGTCACCATAGTCATTAGGCGTCCATAACCGGTCATCATGTCGCCTGTACAAACAAAAGACACGTTTAGTATACACTTAGCAATTGGGTGTAGTTTTCTGGCTCTCTTAGCAATATTCCAGTTAGATCATGGGAGTGTAAGGGAGGTAACTCTAGTTACTGGTTGGGGGAATTCTAATGGTGCTGTAACTAGGAAGTAATGCTGAGATTGAATGTTCTGTAGGATATCTCTTATGGTTGTGAAAGATTGGTATTGATTGTAGAAAGAGCAGTTTCAGTGTAAATTTTAAATAAACAAGTAGTGTGTGCAGCTATTTGTAATAACCTTGTGCAACATGAAAAGACACAGTGCCATTTAGAAAGTGGTCAAATGCAACATATGTCATATTTGGGATTACACTTTCTTAGTAAAGTACAGATTCTAGTACTTTTGTTGGGTAGAGTCCTGCCTGGGATTCGAACCCACACCCTCAGAGTCAGGCACCTAATCGCCAGCACACAAAGTCAGACGCCTAGATCGTGCAGCCACCGCGGCTTCCACAAAAATGGAAGTCAGACAACTGGTAGTCTAGACTGCGGACTTTGTGTACCCCTCTCATAAGTGTTAATTGGCACGGCTCCCACGGCCAAAAGCTATGAAAATACACAATGCCATTTAGAAAGTGGTCAAATGTAACAGACAAAAACAGGTTGCACTTTTGCTCCTTATGAATTTCTATTAAATTGATATTGAGGATTTTGAACATTTTGAACAAAATTACAAAATACCCTGAAAATATTTACCATGCATTGGGTGCAGTTGGTATAGATAGTAGGTTGCACTCTGCAGTTTCAAGTTGCACCAGTGCAAGGTCTATATGCTTACATCAAGCCCTGCTGCTGTACGTATGAATGTGTTCGCCTGTGATAACAAGGATGCATATTCCTAAGCACAGTTGCTGCTGACAAGACACCAGTACAAGACACTAATACAAGACACTAGTACAAGACACCAGTACAAGCCACAGAGCAGAGCCGAAGAGAAACAGCATTTTTTGTGCCAAATGGATGAATCCTCTATGAAGCACTCAGAGACCAACTTACTATTAAAGCTGTTGACGAAGGCCAGTGCGGCTAGAGTGACTAGAAAGACAAGTCTCCATGCTGGACTGAGCCTCAGTCGCCCCACCCACTGCAGTAGCTTGTTGCTGACTCTCCGTAAAGACTTCACCAACTCCAGGTGGGCAAACCCTCGCCGAGCTGAAGGGTGAAAGAGGACAAACATACAAACATGCAAACACACAATATAAACAGCATGGAAAAACTGGACAGAAAGAAAATATGGACTGTTAAGATTATATAATGGGTGTAGATCTCACTGAAGATGAATATCACTTCCTGTTAATATGCCATAAATATGACAATCCTTGTGGTAGGGATGTCACATATTTACATAAGTTTCATGAATCGATTTTGTATACCTCTGTCCAAAAGCTGATACCATATGTTATGATTCGATACATCAGTTTCATGTGATACCCATGTTATGATCACCATACCTATTTTCGCGGCATTATTGTGTAAATTTAGTTACATTTTGAACATTAATATTTCATATTTTATAATTGCCCGTGAAAAGATCAACATTTTTTATTCTCAGACAAAAAACTTCTATTTTCCCATCTTTGTGCATGAAAAATAATTATTTATAACTCTCATAACATCAAAAAACATGATTGATACAATTGCAAAATGTAAGCGATACATAAACATACACAAACTGATACTTTCAAAACTAAATATGGATACAGTTTTGAATGTATCTATAATTGTATCGTCTTACAAAAAATATCGATGCATCGACGGATCGTGGCATCCCTAGCTTGTGGCCTCACAGTTTTATATCAATAATTTATCTGTCAGTCTGTGCTTCTGTCAGTGTAACTGCACTCACACAAACTGTCAAACATTTTGTTGACACTGGCCAGAAGGCAGACATTTTTTCATGTATTTCACACTGATAAGTACACATAGTACACAAAATATTGTTTTGTTAAGAAATCCCAATGTAGATTCTTATTCTACTCTCTATCTAGTATTCTTGAAATAGAGAAGTTACAAAACATTGTTACAAATACCTCTGGTTTCTTGTCGAGTTATGTTCTTTTCTTCTTCAGGCTCGGCAAGGGAGTGAGTTATCCCCCCTCTTGCTGTTTTTCCAGCATCTGAATGCAGCGCCCTCATGGGTGACAACATGGCGTCCTTCTCTGCATCACCGAGTCCTTGACAGCTGTCAACCAGTTGGGGGATGAGGTTGTAGGCACCGAGTGGAACCAGCACGCGCTGGACGTACAGCTTGACCACATCGGAGTATTGAGGGCATTGTCGATTGCGGTCCTTCTGCAGCCACGTTTTGGCAATGGCGTGACATTTGATGTATTCTTTCACTTTCACATGGAGGAGAAGACTGAAGAGCAGATATTTGTCATATAGTTAATATCGCTCTTGATATGGTGTTCTAGGCTGAACTGATCACAGATTGATGAGCAAACACTTTAATAACCAGGTTACCCCACCAACCCCTTAATGATACGATTCTTACAATTACAATCTCACAATAATCAATTCACCTGGCTAATCTCTTTAGTAATCCAAAAACAATCAACCAGCAATCCAGGTTAGAATTGGTCTTCAACAACCCATGCTTGTCGTAAGAGGCAACTAACTGGATAGGATGGTCATGCTCGCTGACTTGGTTGACACATCATAATTGCGCAGATCGATGCTCATGATGTTGATCACTGGATTGTCTGGTCCAGACTTGATTACTTACAGACCCCGCTATATATGACAATTAAACACACCACAGGATCAGTGGTGTGGTAATGGAAATACAGTGAGACCCCAGATACATTTGTTTTTGCGTAAATCGTCCGCATAACTGAATATCCGGATATCTGGATTTCTGCCATCCAGGCATTGGTGTTGAAACTGTAGCGAGCATACACTTCTGGTTTAAAATCACTTCCATAACAGCGTGGTCATTTGATTTGCAAATTACAGTTCACTCAGTGTCAAATAGGCCTACTAATCACCACCAATACCGTGCTGATCGGTCATTAATCAGGATTAGCAGACCTTGTCTCGTGTCAAGACACGTAGGACACTCGCGCTTCACTTCACACGATCGGTAGAAGATCAAAGCTTTGTGCGGATAAGTGAGTCAATTTTGCGTTGATTTAGCCGATTTGTTTGTAAAATTTACCGTCTGGAAACGGACACTGCATATCCGTTATAGACAGTGTCTTTCATAACGTAAGAGATTCAGGGATTTACGCGAATTCCTGCGTCCTATATACATAAAAATTGGCAATGGACGCAACACAATATATTAGCACGTCCACAGGGACTCAGAGAAAGTCTAAATATCTTTTGTAAAAATTTCAATCAAGTGACAATATGTTATCACTGAGTTTGCTACTAGCTGGGTTATGGTGTTCTTGCAATTTAGTTACTGTAACAATGTGATGATCATGATACACAATACACTAACAGTATTAATAATAATAATTAAGTGTCTGGGCCCCCCATTTTGTTGTCCAGGACCCCTGAAAATTAAGAGGATGAGTCCCACGGACCCTCAAATACAGGACTCCATGTAAATCCCTGTAGATTGTTTTTTTATGAAAATTGACCGGAAGGCGAGGTTTCCGGATATCTGGGGTCCGGGTATCCGGGGTCTCACTGTATATGTTAGCATGATGTTTAAATGTATTGAGCATGTTCACACCTTGGAATAATGCACAAAGGTAAAGACAACTAATTAACTGTGGAGTCAAAGATGTGTATGGTGGGTTTGAAATAAAGTATGCATAATGTCTTCAAACAATAACATGAGTGAATATAATTTTACGCTGTTTTTCAACATCCCATCTATGAAACATCTGGGGGCCATTAGAAATGGGCTTCACACATTGCATCATGTGGGGAATTAAACCCGGATCTTCGTCCGGCCAGGTGAATGTTGTAACCACTAGGCGACCCCACGTGACAGTTGAGTTTGAAAGTTGTTATTTTCACCAAAATAGGGGGTGTGGTGGGCAAGCGATCTAAGGTGCCAAGGCTGGTCATCCAGCGAACTTGAGGTGACGGGATCAAGTCCACCTGTGACCGGGTGTAAAAACCTTGGAGTCCACTTTGTGTGCAGACTCTTTCAGTGTTGTCACAACCTCTAGTGTACAGTACACAACCCTGTGCACTTAAAAGAACCCACAAATCCGTTGGTAAATGACCAAATGGTGGCCACATGAATAGTGCAAACACCTAGTTGCGGGTACAGCAACGTGCAGTAAACATGGATAAATTACTGTGACTATGTGTCCCAGTCCACCCAGCTGTGAATAGGTACCCTGTAAGGATGGGAAAGCCACATTAACTCAGTGCGCCTAAATGGCTGCAAGAGTTTATGATCCCCAGGGAGTTGAGATGGAAAAAATAGGATGTGCCATTGAGATTGACATCCAGTGATCGAGGGAAATACAAAGCACCTTTGAGCAGCTGAGCTGAGCTGAGCTGAGCTGCTGGATCTTGGTGCTATACAAATATCATATAATAAAAAATAATAAAATAAACAACTAAAAACTCACCACAATTGAATGATTCTGACAGGACAGTTATCAATGTTCTTATAAATCCTCTGAACGAACGGAAGGACAGCGTCCCACTGGTCCAGCTCGGCAAACGCTTGGATCGTAACGATACACAGGGAGTCCACATAGCTCTGGAAACTGCAAAACAACAAAATTAAAACTTGTCCTTATACATCATTTTTCATTAACTGACAATCATGAGAGAATTACCTGAGAGCAGTGTGTGAAAAGTTTCCAAATTTTGCTAGGCAGCCTGAAAGTGACTAGCCAACAAAATAATTCACTTGCCCAAAATTTGAATGTAGAAACTAAGCAAAATATTACAAAACGGTAAAATACCATCATTTATTAGGCCATAAGATTTAAAAAATTGTATTATAAGTTAACAAGTCAGAAGGAGTGATATATTTACAAAATGAACCCATGAAAATTCAATAGCCAGTCGGGCCTGTGACAGTGGAGATTTACAGGCCCGATTGGATTTTTACTAGCCATAGGCTAGCAGGCCAGTGGTTATTTCGCACACTGCCTAAGAGAGTGACAAAAAGCCGATGAAATGAGGTTTAATGTCACATTCAAGAGTACTGTACATAAATACTGATGTACATGTGTCCATGGAAATACCAGGCTGATGGGGTTAAAGCGACAATCCATGTTCGATTCCCCACATGGGTACAATGGGTGAAGCCCATTTCTCGTGTCCCCCAGCCGGGTGGAATATTTCTAAAAGCGGAACAAAACTAACCTCACTCACTCACCCACTGGGATACCATATGTATTGCAGTTAAACATGGATACCCACCGACATCCACAAGGTACTGATCTGACAAGTTGTTTGATCCCTTCAGTGCTGAGTGCAAGGCAGGGTAACAGCAACTTGTCAAGTGCCATCTTTAAAGAAATTTGGTATAAAGAGGCCAGAAAACTGAACCACTGACTAGTTTCTGTCTGGACTGTCCATGGAGGCAGTGTCACACATCAGTGAGTAAGGTTTTACCACGATCTTAGCAATATTCCAGGAATACCACAGTTGGGTACACTAGGGATGTGCTTCACACATTGTAATGGAGCCTAGATCTAGTAGCATGACGAACTGATGCTGTAACTACTACCCTGGTAGTGTTATGCATACTGGCCATGGTCTTGACGGAGGGCGTTCATTCAGGCTAATTCATCAACTTAGAGCTTAGATTCAAATTAGTGATGTCAGTTTGATCCTCCACGCTGCACAAACTGAATTTAAAAAAGTGCACGATTTAGCCAGACATATTCAGAATCCGAGTTCAAAACGAGGTTAACGGCTCAGGGTTTTTACCTTGCCTTCGTGTTCGAAAAACTATAAAAGTTAAAAACTGAAGTCAGGAAACTTAGAAAAGTAAGCTTTATAGAAGCTGGTGCACTTTCAGAAGTCGACAGTGCAATACTTTTTGGTGGATCTGTATCGTTCAATTAGCGACCAGTAGATGTCAGGAAAAGCGGCGCCAACACTAATTTGACCTAAAATTTAGCAGAGCGCCAATCGTACCTCGGTGTATGTCTAATTCTGTCAATTACTTCAGAACAATGCACCAAACATCTATCAAAGTCTCTGCACAGGAGAAGATCTGAAGCTTTTTCAACTGTTTGCTCTAAATCATGACCCGGTCCATGTCCCAAGTCGCCAGGGTCACTGTCTGAAGAATAAAACACATCACTATCTGGAGATTCGCGAACTCCACTGCTGCCTGCCGCCATGTTCTCATCAACAAGTGTTTTCAGAGTGACCTGCCCTTGTTGTGGAAGGCTGCACAAGTACCGGATGAAACCGTAAAATCCACCTTAATGGATAGGACAGCAAGAGTGCGATTGTTAAAAGGGGCGAGGTGATTGGTGATCAATAATGCTGTTTTATTGAAAATGTATTTATATTCGTCGAATATGACAGCATATGACACCTTTGTCCGGAAAAAACCCATTGTTCGGATACCAACCATATAGTGTGACAAATCATTTTCGAAAAGTTAGGACCGTTCATAATGTGTGTGTGTGTGTGTGTGTGTGTGTGTGTGTGTGTGAGAGAGAGAGAGAGAGAGAGAGAGAGAGAGAGAGAGAGATATCTAAGGGGGTGGGGGTCACCCATATTGTCTTGGGAGATAGGGGTGAGCAATTTTGTACATCAAAATATTAAAAAATTATGCTTAAATATTATGGGAAGGGGGAGGTGAGGTCATTGATTTTGTACATGATATGCAATGGGGAGGGGACTTACTTTTTACGTAAATTTTAGGGGGGTCATTCACATTGTACATGCTTCTGCATAAAAATCATCACACCCCCTTGCCATAATTTATGAACGGTCCCTTATCGCGTATTTTCCTCTCATATCTTTCATTTTCAGAGGCCGTACCTACCGTTGTCAGTAGAGACGCTACCCCAACTATACCGCGGAAACCCGGTATAGCACAATACATCATGCCCTCGCTATAGTTAACTATATTTTGAGTTTCGAACATATCCGTCTATCTACTATGTAATAGAATCTGCCTTGTTTTGTTTGTTTTAGTATCGCAACCCAGAGCAATATTCCAGCTTTATAATAGAAGGTTTGTAAATAATGGAGCGTGGACCATACAGTGCAGGGATTGACATCGTGGCCATCGATCTACGTAATTTGGCCACCGATGACATGTCAACCAAGTGTAGCGAGCCTGACCACCCGATCCCGTTTGTCGCCTCACAAGCATGGCTTGCTGGAGACTAATTCTAATTTTCACGGGGCTGTTGTTTCGTACACTTACTGCCTGTTCGAAACGTAACATAACATTTTCAAGAAATCTCCCGACTGGCCGAGTCTGGTTTTAATTTCTTTAAACAGTATTTCAATTATCCCTGAAACTAAACTTTGGTAGGGGTGAATCCTGAGACTTGAGTATGTTTCACGCCGCTTGTAGCAATATTCGAGAAATATCACCAGAAATGTAATTCACATGCGAGGAATCGAACTCGGGTCTGTTGTGTAACGAGCGAACGCTTGAACAACTTAACTATAGTACCCGGTGACATGAACCGAGTTAACCTTCAGGAACAGCAACAATAACGCGACCTTGGCAGACGATATCACGTTGTTGCCGGGTAGGGCCATGCCGAAATTCCCGGGACACTAAGAACCCGAAACACGTCCTAGTGCGCAAACCCTACATGTAGATGCTCACCCTCACCCACAGGAGCAGCCCATCGTTCAGTGTCGTCTGTTCAGGTAAGTGACCATGCATGCAACACTGGAACCACAAATGTACTGGGTATCTTATCAAATAATGTCTCCATCTCATCGAGTGACCCGACTAAATGGTCAGTTTGGGTATCGTGTCCTACTCCTTGTTGTTGCATCAGGACCACTTTATCTAACATGGCTATGGCTGCTGACGTTGACGTATACATCGTCCGATACTGCCTCACTCGTAATCACTGAGGGTCAGAACGGGACAATTAAGGATTTTCTGAAAAGACGATTATCCCGCGAGAAAGTACACTTTTTGAGTTTTGTCAAGATGAACTGACGTCAGCCTGGAAAAGGAACTGAGGGAAACCGGTTTAACCAAGAGCATAGCCACTGACCGGCAAGCGTGGAGCACAACTGTTGAGGCCCTATGCTCCTCAAGGAGTAAAGAGGACTAAGTCAAAACTGACATTAAGCCGCTGTTCAAATCACCTCCCACGTGATCTAATGTTACAGGGGCGGTGGGGTAGCCTAGTGGTTAAAGCGTTGGCTCGTCACGCCGAAGACCCGGGTTCGAATCCCCACATGGGTACAATGTGTGAAGCCCATTTCTGGTGTCCCCAGCCGTGATGTTGCTGGAATATTGCTAAAAGCGGCGTAAAAACCAAACTAAGTCAGTCAGTCAAAGTCAAAGTCAAAGATATTTATTGTACTTAAGGCCTCCGGCCCATATACAAGTAATAGAAGTACATATACAGCACATGTTACAGACATTTTACAAAGAAATTACAGTTCAGATAAGATATTGCTTCTAAGGAAAACAGCATGTTTTACATAAAGCGCAAGATTACGTATTACATTTTCATTTTTGGAAGATAGAATGGAAGCAAAAGCAGATTTAGGATATTTTAACAGGTAATTATTTGGGATATATTTTTTTCTTAAATCAGCATAATGTGGGCATACAAAAGCGAAGTGAATTTCATCTTCTATAGCCGAGTTACATAATGGACATATCCTTAAACGTCTCTCTATTGAAAATCGTCTGCCCTTATTTACTGATAAGTCTAACAATGTTACACCATCATTCCTTCATCTGTCAGAGACTGAAGACGGATCACGGATGGCGCAGTTTCAGTCGAAAATATGAATTTCCTGGGAAGGGTGATGTAACCATCCAACAACCATCTTTAATACCTCGGACTTTTTCCAAACATTGTTCAAAACCACCGTGTCCGCTCCACAGGGTTGAAGGACGTCTCCGACAAAGTCGGCGACATGTCTGATATCGGCGTTGTTCCTTGTGATGGTGACATCCTGTGGACACAGACATGCAGTGCCCTTAAAGAGTTTGATAACAACATCTGCACCTGTTGCTCAAAGTATCACAATCAGCAGTCAATCAGAGTGTGCATGTGTGTGAGTTGGGATCAACAGCATGAGCATCTATCTACGCAATGCTCGTGGTAAGAGGCGACTAACGGGATCGAATGGTTAGGCTCGCTGACTTGGTTCACACATGTCATCGTATCCCAGTTGCGTAGATCGATGCTCATGCTGTTGATCACTGGATTGTCTGTTCCAGACTCGGTTATTTACAGACCGCCGCCATGTAGCTGGAATATTGCTGTATGCGTCGTAAAACTAAACTCCCTCACCCACTCCCTAGTCCAATGCTGCAAGACGCATGACGCAATCGCAATTTCTAAAATATCTGCTTACAAACTCAAAGATATCAACTTACATTGAGTAGAGAGTTACGATAGAAACATCTTCCAAAGGAAGATGGTGTAGCATGGAGGTTAAAGCGTTCCGTTGTCTCGTCTCGCCGAAAAGCCGGCTTCGAGTCCCCACATGGGCACAATGTGTGAAGCACATTCCTGGCGTCGCCCGCCGTGATATTGCTGGAATATTGCTAAAAGCGGCGTAAAACTAATCTCACTAACTCATACAACAAAGGAACTATGTACGGCGTCTTTAAGAAACATTCCATAAGTTTTGAAAATTACCTCAATCTGCCAGAAACTGTTTGGAATGTATTGGTAAAATTCTTAAATGCTTATCATGATCTGACTACTAAAACTGGCAGGTGGGAAAACATTGCATGCAGTAACTGAACGAAATTAAAATTACTTTTTAATACTCGAAAACTAGGAACTCTATGAAAATTATCCAAAATGTGTAAAACCATTATGTTACTGTCTAACACAAACAACATACTTCACAACTGACTACTGACTGTATTGTATTCTGATAACTGGCTACCCCACCGCCCAAAGTATTCTAGGAAGACACAATTCCATTTAGAAAGTGGTCAAATGTAATACCTTATATTTGGGACTACACTTTCTCAGCAAAGTACAGATTCTAGCACTTTGGTTAGGTTGAGGCCCGTTCGGGATTCGAACCTTCTCTCTCTCTCTATTAGGTGCATTCATTCTAATGCGGTCAAGTGTAAATAAGTTCAGTTCGGTTCAACCAATGACGTCAGAATGCAATGTTGCGATTAGTCAAAAACTGGATTAATCGTGACTGCGGAGTGCCCAGATAAGCTTCGTGAATCCTAACACCTGTAGCTTTCTGTAGAAACCACATGGATTCCAGGTAAGAGTAGAAGTAGCCAGTGCTTGTTATGAGAGACGACTGAATGGATTGGTGACATGGCTAGTTGCGTTTCATGATATTTTAATTGTTTTATCTGAAGTTAACACAATATACGTCTTTTCCATTGAACAGAGGCCGGTCACATGGCGTCAAGTGTTGGATTGAATTTCCGTTGTGTTCATTATAAATCCTGCATTCTGATTAGCTGAACTGGTCCCGTGTTAATTGTAATTCCTGCATTCTGATTAGCTGAACTGGTCCCGTGTTAATGCATCTCCCAATGAAAGCACAAAATTAAGCCACGCCCACCATTTGCCCACGACTTTCGCCCCCATAGACTATCCACTATCTCAATTACAATTTTGTCTCAGAAAATGTGCTATATTGCAATATTTCTTTATTGCAATGAATGCTTGATAGCGGTGTTAGTATCTACATCGAAACGCCGTTTTTATTGCAACAAAGAAGTTGACTATCCGTAGAACTTGGTTTTCCTTCATCTTTACAACTTTGAAAAAACCCAACCATTCCATGCATGCTATGTAAGTTTCCTTGGAAATACTTATTTGTTGCAGCATCATGGTCATCATCACCGTGGTGACGTTGCTACTGGTGTGTCACGTGACACCAGTGACGTCAACGTGCACCATGGCTGACAACGTGTGCGAGTTCCGCCTGAGCATCAGCCGCCAGCTCTCCATGGTACACAAGGACTCCATGGTGAAGCTGCGATTCGGGAAGGTGTACAAGTCGGTCGCAACTGTGTATAACAACAACACGGAGATCCCTCTAGACGAGGTATTCTTAAAGAGGGGACCCGTGAAGATCCCGGTTAGAACTGGTCTTCAGCAACAAATACTTGTCGTAAGGGGCGACTAACGGGATCGGGTGGTCAGGCTGGCTGACATGGTTGACACATGTCATCGTATCCCAATTGTATAGATCGATGTCATGATGTTGATCACTGGATTGTCTGGTCCAGACTCGATTATCTACAGACCGCTGCCATATAGCAGGAATATTGCTGAGTGTGGCGTTAAACAACCAACCAACCACCCAACCAACTTAAAGAGGGGGTTACACTAATGCAGTGTCTGTCCAAAACATTATTGATAAAGTCTTCCAAACAAAAGCACTTAAACTGACAACATGATATTATCCTTCTTATCTTTAGAAGATGTCTCAGTTCCTGAGTCGCACTAATTAGATTTATATGCCTGTACACATGAACATTAAATAAGCACCACCCTTATTTGTATAAGTACGAAACACTCCATCTTCTTGTATGTACTTTGAAAACCAATTTACACAGTTATGGTAATGGTATGAAACACCATTGGCGACGACCTCAGTAACTGGTACAGCGACCCCTCGCACAGAGAACATCTGCCACACTCCTCCTGATACTGGCAACCAAGCGTCGAAATCTCAGCATCGGAATCCTCCGCCTTTCCATATGGAGTGCTTGCAGATTTGGAACAGGAGTACCTACAGCTCGAACTTGGAGTCTAAGATAGTCCCAAAGATGTTCGATGTGGTTCAAATCGGGGCTCCTTATTGGCCATGGCGTTGATGTGCAAATGGGCGATGACGGTTCGAGCAAGGCGAGGTCAAGCCTTGTCATCCATGAATATCGGACGACTAGCAAGGGAGTGGTTATCGAGATAGTATTGATATGTTGACCCATAGTTGACACATAATCACCGGTTTGGTTGGCCATGGTTGTCAAACTGATGATGGGCGCATTTGGATATGGTCATCGGGTACACAGTAGCCCATCATGTTAGCTCATTCTTGGGACAATGAATGGAAATTCATACTAAACCATGGCCCATACTTGGCCCAACGGAATGATTTTGTTGGCACCACCGTATTTCAACATTTAGCTCTTTACTGACCTCTGCCATCAGAAACATATATACTACAAACAAAAAGTATGGGAACACTCTAAAATTTGATAGTCATATATAAACTTATGGGCACTTTAAACTACATGTTGAAACATGCAGTGAAACAACTGATTCAATATTCGTTGAGTTTGAGTGAAATTAAACATTGTCAAAAACAGCGAAAAACAAGGATGCTGAAACATACCAGCACCATGTTTGATTCAAACGCTCAAACACAACAGCCTAGTGCATGTGGAAGACAGACTTACAATTTTACATATACATGTACTACATGTACTACAATAATGAAACGTATACCCCAATTGCTTGGCGCCTTCGCAGCGCATGGACATGCGACCCATAGCTTTTGAGGTATTGTGTGAAGCACGTGCTTTATATGTAGATATGATCGCCTGTATGGAACAAAATCTACAACAATTGCGTTTGGAATCAGTGGTGATGTATTCATGCTTATGTGTACAGATCAATGTAACAACATAATATTCCCCTCTTACTTGTGTCAGTTCCTGTGCAGCACAAATTACATGTATTTTTAATGAAATATTTCTTTTTTACTCAAATTCTACTACCCAGAATATGAACTTGTCACCATATAACAATGACACATCCTATCATCTGTTGAGGTCATTACAGGGGATGGCTGGACGGAGCCCCGACCGGTGTTGGTGTTCAACAACCAGATGCCTGGACCCCCTATAGAAGTGTACCAGGGGCAGACCGTCCTCGTCCACGTCACCAACAACATGGACAGCGACACGACGTCCGTTCACTGGCACGGGGTGCACCAGAAGGGTAGTCCCTGGATGGATGGCGTGCCCTTCCTCACACAGTGCCCAATCCTGCCCGGACACACCTTCACGTATCAGTTTGTTGTACGTAGTTCCCTGTATATCAGTTTGTTGTAAGCAGTTTCTTGTGTATCACCGTATGTTTTATGTCGTCTGCTGATTTGTGTATGTTTTATGTCGTCTGCTGTTTTGTGTATGTTTTATGTCGTCTGCTGATTTGTGTATGTTTTATGTCGTCTGTTGATATGTGTACGTTTTAGTTTTATCTGTTTCAACTTTTCCATGTGCAAGACAACCTCGTGCTGGACAGAACAGTGGGAGATGCATTTCACAAGCAGTGGAAGAACTCTGCTGTTTAGTCTGTGATTCATGGTGTGTGCTTATTTAGTGTATGTTTCATGTCGTCTGCTGTTTAATGTGTTTCATGTCGTCTGCTGTTGAATGCTTCGTTTCTTTGTATATTGTTTAATGTCTGTTTTACGTTTTATGTTTAGAGAATAACGTCCATGTTATCTTGAACTACCAGTCACGTACCAACACAAGAGGGCCGATGTTATATATAGAAGCACGTGGGGTATTCTAAATAATGCAATAACAAACGTCATGTTCTCAACCCAAACAACAGCCTTACTGTGTGTAGGATATTGTATATATCATACATACGTCGTCTCTACATCGTATGATATATGTGGGCGGTGGGGTAGCCTAATGGTTAAAGCGTTGGCTCGTCACGCCGAAGACCCGGGTTCGAATCCCCAAATGGGTACAATGTGTGAAGCCCATTTCTGGTGTCCCCGCCATGATGTTGCTGGAATATTGCTTAAAGCGGCGTAAAACCAAACTCAGTCAGTCAGTCAGTATGATATATGTTGTCTGCTAAATTGTATTTTGCTTTGTGTATATGAAGACGGGGTTTGCGGTATATAACAAAGCTTTGCTTTCGTTGTATTATGTGAACGGACGTACAAAGAATGTATGCGTGTGAAAATGGTATTTCAACAACAACAGTCGTAACTAGACTGAAAAATGTCGCCTGTTGTGACATATACATGACCTGAATGAAATGATGCGTGTAATATCGCCTATTGTACTCGTATAAAAGTGAGTGAGTGAGTTTAGTTTTACGCCGCACTCAGCAATATTCCCGCTATATGGCGGCGGTCTGTAAATAATCGAGTCTGGACCAGGCAATCCAGTGATCAACAGCATGAGCATCGATCTGCACAGTTGGTTTACGATGACATATGTCAACCAAGCCTGACCACCCGATCCCGTTAGTCGCCTCTTACGACAAGAGGGTTATAGAAGACCAATTCTAACTCGGATCTTCAGGGGTCGTACTCGTATAAATGGATGGTGGGGTATTCTAGTTGGTAGAGCGGTCCTTCGTCACGCCGAAGACCCGGGTTCGATTCCCCACAATATGTGAAGCAGTTTTCTGGAGTCCCCGCCGTTATATTGCTGAATATTGCAAAAAGCGGCGTAAAATCTTACAATTCTATACCCTGTTAATAACATCACCATCGAATAACTATTTCTTATTTGTTTAATACCCAGCTACCATTGAACAAAAATGGATGTTTTGTAACCCATTGATGGATGGGAGTTTTCATCTTGACCCTTGGTGTTTGTGTGTTGTTTTCGAGCGTGTGTGTTGACTCACAATAAGTAGTCGGGACTCACACAATATCATCAGTTGTGTTCCACAAGTCGAATATCGGGGGTGATTGGGGGGATTAAATGACCGTTGACAGCTGGACTAATTCCTTGTGTGATGACGTCGAGAAGACGTGTCACGCAACTGGCTGTTATTGGGAAGCTTAGGGAATGCATGAATTGTCGGTTATTCTCTGTATTACTCAATGTCAGGTTATTTTCTATATAGTCCAGGGCCCCGTTTCACAAACCTCTTGTAAGCCTAAGATCTCGTAACTTTTCTTGTAGCATTCGTGCCTCCTATACTGTAACATCGGAGGTACTAATGCTACGAGAAAAGTTACGAGATCTTATGCTTACGAGAGCTTTGTGAAACGGGGCCCAGAGTCCCTTTGTTCTGAAAATATGTCGTCAGATATTGGTTCATCAATAACAATCTACAGTTGTATACTTTACATAAGGTCAGTAGATTTGTCAATGGGGGTGAAGGACAGTGAGGTAGCCGGTGGTTAAAGCGTTCGCTCGTCACGCCGAAGACAAGGGTTCGGTTCTCAGCATGGGTAGAATGTGTGAAGCTAGGTGTCCCAGTCCAGCTGCGTTAACCATACACACAGAGTCATATCTGTAGCCTTTAGAACGTAAATATAACTTCAAGTTGCAATGGTTCTATTCACAAGCAAAGTGATTTCTGGAATAACCAATTCTTATAGAACAGAACTGTAATTGACTTAAAATGCGATTTACTCTGAAAATAATCTTATTGGTTTCCGTGGCGCTACGGCTATCACAAACATACTTCACACAGGTGGGTGTGCAGGTGGCTTAGAATCCGTATTACCTGTTCGTACATCGACGTATGTGAACATCCATGCTCTCATTTCTTCCCACAGGCTGACCGAACAGGGACCTACTGGTACCACTCCCTAATGGCCGGACAGACCACGGACGGTGCTTTAGGTCCACTAATCGTCAGGCCACGTAAAGTCTCGGACGGACGAGAGTTCATCTTGACCATCCAGGACTGGAACCACTCTTGGGATAGCCAGGATTCGAAGCTGAGGATGAGACAGGGTTGGGTCCGGAATGGTGCACCTACCCCATCGACCACCTCTCCGACCGGATCCAAATACACAATCACAAGAGTGGACACCGGCCTCGTGAACGGCAGAGGACGTTACCAAGGTGGATCCAGCAATATTCCCCTGACCAAGTTCCAAGTGGAACAAGGCTTGGACTACCGGTTCAGGACAATCCATGCAGGAGCCATGCTTCCTTTCGGATGTCCATCGACAAGCACATGCTGACTGTTGTTGCTCTAGACGGGGTTGACGTTCGACCTGTCACGACTGAGTCGTTCATTATCTATCCGGGCGAGAGGGTGGACTTTGTCATCTACGCCGACAATGCTGTGTCTAACTATTGGGTGAGGGGCGTTGCATTGGAGGACAAGAACCCGCGTGTCCTGAACTCTATCCTGCAGTATAAAGGTGCCCCAGATGCTGAGCCAAATTCTGCTAGAAAAGGATGCACTGCCAGTGATGTATGTCTCATTCTGAACTGTCCCTTCCAAAGCTATCCTTCAATGCAGTACACAAGATGTTTATCTGTAGATGCGTTGAGGTCTTTTAAACTTTACCAAGCTACAGTTGGTAAGTCGAAAATCAAAGAAATATTTTTAAACTTTGGGTTTCCCGGGTATGACAGTAAGCCAGGTTCTGTTAACGGTTATGCGTTTGACAACTACCCCCAGTCACCACCTTTGACCCAGAAAAGCGTTATACCATGTAATGCAAGCGTCTGCGGAGACGACGCGGTTTGTCACTGCCCTCTGGTGGTGGACTTGCAACAAGGGGAAGAACTCCAGCTTGTACTCATCAACATGGGTCAAGGCGGCGGCTGGGACAACCCGGTACACATTCACGGCCATCATTTCCACGTGCTGAAGACGGGCTTCGCGGTATATAACAAAACAACGGGCCTGTTCAGGGGAGACAACTTGGATGTCGACTGTTTGGGAAATCCAGACAGGCAGGTCAACTTTTGCAACAGAGCCACGTGGGGAAATCCCGCATGGCTGAATGGAAACATACCGGGAGCCAATCTGCAAAATCCCCCTGAGAAGGACACAGTGGTGGTACCTAATGGCGGATACGTCGTAGTCAGACTAAGGGCGGACAATCCTGGGTTGTGGCTGGTGCATTATGGGAACACGCCTCACTTTATGGATGGTATGGCACTGTTATTGAGAGAATCATTCGCTTCCATACCTCCTACCCCCTCAGACTTCCCCTCGTGTGGGTCCTCCACCCAGGGATATGCGGGTACAACAACAGCCCCCGGAACCACTGGAGGCATGGGAATCGTTGGATAAAGAACATATGCAGATATAGTATGACCAGAAATTATTGAGAATTTTAGGAATATGGTTAATTGGATTTCTAGTATAAAAACCTTGACCAGCTATCAAGTGCTTGGGTTCATTCAAGAGAGACAACTCCGTTAATCCTTTTTCATTAGTTTGTGAAGAGTTATGCCCCTTTGTTTACTTGCTAGCAGACGACATTTTCAGTGATGCTCAGTCTGGATGATTTAGAGAAGAGGAAGTTGATTTTAGAGTATTATAACAAGGACATCAGATTTCAAGTAGAACAGGCATCCCTTTGTCCACCGTTTATCGTGTTTTGAAAAATATTGCAAATGGACATGACATTGAGCACCAGGGAGGCGCAGGTAGGCCCAGAAAATTGACTGTCGGTGACAGGAGGCGGCTTGGTATTCTTGTTTCTATAAACAAACGAAGGAGTTTAGAAAACTTAAGGCTGGATATGATTGATAGAGGAACTGTGGCTGTCTGTAATGAGACAATTAGAACTGAACTGCATGCAATGGGTTGGCAGAAAAGTCGAAGGATTCCATCACCGATCATGAAACCTGAACAAAAGGAGCGAAGGTTGAACTGGTGCTTACAGCATAGAAATTTTAACTGGGACAATGTGATTTTCTCAGATGAAAGTTCTGTGTGGCTGTTTCCTAATACACTAGAATTCTGGACCAAACAAACTGAAAAACCTTTGTACCAGCGCCCAAAGTACAGTCCGAAATTTAACGTGTGGGGTGGCATATCTGTGTTAGGGGCAACGCCCCTCTGTGTATTTGAAGGGAATATGAACAGTGAGCGGTACACAGATATTCTCGAGGGACATTTACTTCCATCTGCTTACGTGTTCTATGGAAATTTGTGGATTTTCCAGCAGGACAACGACCCAAAACATCATTCAAAGCATTCACAGGCATGGTTTCGGACCCAAAATATGACATTATTAGATTGGCTAAGCTATAGCCCTGACCTAAATCCAATGGAAAATGTTTGGGGACTTATGAAGGAAAGTGTCAATAAGAAACATCTGACAATTATTGCTGAAAAGAAAGAAGAGGTGGTCCGATATTGGGATAGCATGAACCACGACTTTCTAACTTCTTTGATCAGTAGTATGCCCCGCCGCATTGAAGCCTGCATTGCTGCCCATGGTGACTTGACAAAATGCTAACTGTTCACTTGTCTTTGAATATGGAGTTATGTTCTGCAAATATTCACATTAATACCTGAGTAATGAGTGAAGAAAATATAACAAATTTACAATCTTTAAAATTCTCAATAATTTCTGGTTGTACTGTATAACCTGTAAATATTAAGATAGCGTTAAGAAGTGTGTCACTCTTAACTGTGTTGTCAGTGTACACAGATGTTAGATATGACGCAATGAAATTACAAAATATTAATTCACCTTTATGTCAACAGCCTCTTAATAAACTGTCCGCTATTCAGTCAGTGATCCATTTTGTGTCTGTAAAGCCTGAGCAGGTTGACCTTTGCTTCCCATAGTGTCAAGTCAGTCACTGTTTTATAGAAATTAGAACGTGTGACACATGAATAAAATATTTCCCTCGTTCTCTGCCTACTGTAGTCCTTGACCAGACTTATCAAACAACTACGTTTTGGCAAACTTAAGTTTTTTATTGACTAATGTTTTTGATAAATACGGGGCCTGCTGTCACCTGGCCCCTCGGCTCTTATGCATAGAAGCTGACATAGAAGTCGAGATAAGGGCATCATTTTTTTATGTTATAGGATATTTATATATTATAGGATATTTATATAGCGCACATATCCATGCTCAAGGCGCTAGTATTTTTTCCCTCGATGATTGGATGTCAATCCCAACGGCACATCACATTATCAATCTCCACTCCCTGGGGAGTATACAACTCTTGCAGCCACTAGGCACACCGAATTATTGTGGTTTTCTCGTCCTAACGAGGTACCCATTTACAGATAGGTGGACTGGGACACATAGTGCTTGTCCAAGTTCACTGCATGTTGCTGTACCCGCAACTAGGTGTTTGCACGTATTCTTGTGGCCACCATCTGGTCATATACCAACGGATTCGTGGGTTCTTTTAAGTGCACAGGGTTGTGTACTGTACACTAGGGGTTGTGACAACACTGAGCGAGTCTGCACACAAAGTTGACTCCAAGGTCACCTGTCACAGAGGGGCTCGATCTGGCCCCGATTTCTCGAAACAAACTTAAGTTTTTACTCAAATTTCAAACTGAGTTTGACTATTTGAAACAGCTGAATTTTAACTCAGCTGCATTTTTAAAATAAAAAAGCCCAAACAACTTCAGTATTCTATTCACCAAACTCAAATTATCTACTATGTATGAATTTAATATCGATTTCAGTTCATTCTTGGAAATGCGTTTTCTCAAATTTGAGTAAGAACTCTAAGCTTAAGTCAAAACTCAGACTTAAATTTGTTTCGAGAAATCGGGGCCAGGACACCTCAACCTCGCTGGATCACTAGCCTGGCGCCTTTGCCAGCTCGCCCACCATGTGTTTCACGTTGCCACCAAATTCTGAACAAAAACAAACAGGGGAAAAAAACAAACCTGAAAATACCAACTAAATAAAGACAAAATTACTGAATAATGTTCTTGATTCTCATTTATTGTAATTCTTATTACAATTTAGCGCGTTTTTTTACTTGTAGCAGCGACTGATTAAAAATAAACATTTCATATGACGGGGCGATACGTTGAGTCGGCGGTGTTGGAATGAAAGGTGTTTTTTGTTTTTTTTGTTGGGGGTCGGCAATAAAGTTAGAAGGGTCGGTCGGGCGATGAGAAACACAGAAAATAAAAATGCCGCCCTAAGAAAGTATGTTCATAGCCGCTGTAAGCCCAATTCACTTGGCCCAATGTCTTTTATTGTTCGCTCAGGCGATACCAAAGGGGTGGCAGAGTAATGCTTCTCTCTGTCTGTTGAGTGCAACCTTCTTATACCCTTGTGCTCAGTGTAACGTGACGTCTGGAGAGGTAGACTTCATGTATAGAAAAACTTGAGTGCGCCGCACGACACCTTTACCCGCATCATGACGACGCTGTGAGGAGTTTAGAGACTACTTCTGACCAGCCTATATACACGCAGCCTGAATGACCAATTTGTTGCTTTTTTAACGCGTTATGTTAAGTTTAAAATGCATTTTACCGAAATTTTGTTTAACCTTCACCATGACTAAGCGGTAATGATTGGGTTCGTTAGATAAATTGACGACGTGCCCGCTTATTGTTAGGGGACGATGTTATGTGAAGGGAGGCGATGCATGTCGTATAACGCTACCACTTTAAACATAGTGAAGCATATTTCATAATGTGGTCGAATCTGTTCATCTGCATCCTGATGTACCCCAAACTGATTCAGATTTACAAAGCAAAACCATCTTAACCGGGTAGTATATCGTTGACATGATACTAACATTTCTACGTTCCTTTGTTTGTTGTGTCATGCAGCATTCAGCAAGATTCCAATTAAATGGCGGAGGTCTGTAAATAATCGAGCCTGGACCAGACAATCTACTGATTGACACAACGGTCTATCAGTGATGCAGTTTCCGGATTTTAAGGTTCCAGGACAATAGGGTTCAGTGACTCCACGTTCATATAAGTAGAGAATCACTTGAACATATATCAAGAACAGACAGCTAACTGAGTGAGTGAGTTGGGTTTTACGCCGCTTTCAGCAATATTGCAGCAATATGACGACGGGACGGCTATGTACACATGCATTGGGCGTGGATAGGCTACCAGAGAAAAGCGTTATCACTGAAGGTTTGTTTCTTGCAAAATTCCAGCTATCTGACGGCGGTCAAACGAAGCTGGGCCAGAACATCCAGTAACTGACATTATGAACATCTTTTGCAAATCGAACACGATAACAACTGTCAACCTTGCCGACGACCTTGTCGACCAGATCCCGTTAGTTGCCACTGACGACAAGAGTGGGCTGCTGAAAACTGATTCAATCCAGCACCGTTCTCCGAGATAACAGTGAGTGAGTATAGTTTTACGCCGCACTCAGAAATATGCCAGCTCTATGGTGGCGCTCTGTAAATAATCGAGTCTGGACCAGACAATCCTGTGATCAACAGCATCAGCATCGATCTACGCAATTGGGATACGCTGACATGTGTCATCCAAGTCAGCGAGCCTGGCAACCCGAACCCTATAGTCGCCTGGCAAGCATGGGTTACTGAAGATCAATTGTAACCCGGATCTTCACGGGTCCAGTTTACAGTGGAAGCAAAACAAATGAAGAAAACGTATGGCAGGACTATACAGAGAGTGAACAGTTTTCACCGGGCATAGTAACAATAGTCTACCTGACATTTCCTTGTACGTTGACTGTTTTATGTACATGCACTGAGTTATTGTGTGCTCAGTTACAACTCTACTAGAAAGATCTGAGTTGAAGTCAGTTTCCTTAACGCCGTGTCGCCGATGGCATTCGGGTGTATTCCGTTACTTATGTATAATTCCCATGGAGTGGTGACAAGTCTTCACCGCCAGATGGAGTTACTTGCAAAATGACAGCCGTTTATTCTGAGCTGTGTTGAAATAAAGGTTTTGTTTAGAGTAAATTGAAAAAGATACTCTCTATATATTTATAAAAATAGCGATATTGTGGCGAGTATTGTGCATCTGATTGTCGCGTGAACGAATCTTTTAGAGTATGAAACCCTGAGATGTCCAATATGACAATTCAAATTTTGGATTGGGATGGGTTGAGACACATTTTCGTGTAATTAGAGTTATTCGCCCTTGTTGTGTACGAAATAGCAGATTTTGGTGGGTATTTTAAAAGGAAAATTTCACATCCAGGCAGGAAAGGAATTTTCTATAATCCAGGCCCGGGCTGCTTGCTCCTGTCAAACCACAATTTCCGGAAATACAGAGCCAAATACAGTGGTGATGATTTTAAAGCATGTAAAATGTAAATGCCCATGTACAAAATCAGTGCCATGCCATACAAAATTGCTGCCCCCAATACCTGCACAGAACAAACTGGGTGCCCCCCTTAAAATCATCATCACACCCCTAGCCATAAATTATGAACGGTCCCTAAGATCAAAGTTGAGGTCTACAATCAGAGTATTCCCACTTGTGTTTGAACACATTGGGCATATACCGAAAGGTTTGATTGAGCTTAGTTTTACGCCGCACTCAGCAATATTCCAGCTATATGGCGGCGGGCCGTAAATACTCGAGTCTGGACCAGACAATCCAGTGATCAACAGCATGAACATAGATCTGCGCCATACGGGATCTACGGGATACAATGACATGTGTCAACCAAGCCAGCGAGCCTGAGCACCCGATCCCGTTAGTCGCCTCTTGCGACAAGCATGTGTTACTGAAGACGACTTCTGAAAAGAGTAGTCGGCATTCACCGGCTTACAGTGAGTAAGTGAGTGAGCATGGTTTTACGTTGCTTTTAGCAAAACCATCGGGGAGGACACAAGAAATGAGTTTCATACATTGTACCCACACGGGGAATCAAGCCGGGTTCGCGCTACGAGTGAACACTTTAACCGCAATGACGCAATGAATGGTGTATTCAGTCCACCAGATATAGTACACAACCATACCCTGATCGATATGCTCACACTATCAACCACTAGAGCATCTCCCTACCTGTCATCTTACACGTACACGATGCACTTGGCTGTACAACCCACTCATGACTGTCACTGAAAACAAGCTCGGGACGAAGCCTTCAGAAACAAAGTCATTTGTTAAAAAACTTCCCTTAGAACGATTACATCGCCAGAAATAAAAACCGCATTGTCTCTCAAACGTACTTACAACAAGTGCATTGCGTCAAGCGCATACAAGCCTGGCTGACACAATCCCTGCTGAAAGCACCTGTTGGGATGTGTGAGTAATGTAATCGAAAGTAAACCCCGACAGATGTGGGCGGCTTCTCAGCCATGTGTTGTACGAAGCAGATAAGATTTACTGCAATGCAGGCTGTAATGGGCATGTGCTGAGTGTTTTATAAGTAAATAGAAGTCACGGGCGGCACTGATGCATTATTGCTGTCGGTGTGTTTCCCTGGATGTGTCGCATGCATATGGAGGTTAGGATGCCCACGTTGAGGCTCCATGTCGTTGAAGAAGAGGACGCTTAGAGTGCAGGTAAGTCTGTCGTTATGTTCGCTATCTCACGCCGACGACGGAGACGGATGATGACGATTGTTGTTACACGGGCAGTCAGTAAACTTGAACTATTTTGTTTTATCAAACGTCAAACGGATCTGATTTACAATTTTACTGAATATTTGTGAAAATCTTCATTGTAGACATGTTATACTTTTGATATTTCGTTCCACATTAAGACGCCACGCAGTGATACATATGAACTACTGTTTAAAATTGGGGAGGTGGGGTAGCCTAATGGTTAAAGCGTTCGCTCGTCACGACGAAGACCCGGGTTCGATTCCTTACATGAGTACAATGTGTGAAGTCCATTCCTGGTGTCCCCCGCCGTGATATTGCTGGAATGTTGCTAAAAGTGGCGTAAAACCATACTCACTCACTCACAGTTCACAGCACCCTCTGTGAGTGTAGACCGACCGACTTTGCAAAGCGATCTCAGCGCTAAGGTACGAAAGCCTTTTAGGGTCATTCGGTTTTTATTTTTTTTCTTGAAATATCAAAATACCACTGGCCAATGGAAACAGTTTTTCGCAAAACATGTAGATTTTTCTCAATGAAATTGTTCATTTCATGGGATATACTTTTGCAAATGATTGTTTTATAGCCTTCGCTCGTCACGCCACTTTTATGAAAATGGTTACTGATGATAAACCAATATCTATTCAAAACACATCCTCGAGAGATCGTGAAGTTTACGCGATATATGGAAGATCACAGATAGAACACTTCGAGTCCTCAGGTCCTTTGCACACATTTGAAAGTCTTCAGTGCTCTAAATAAGGGGCGTATCGTCGTATGTACGGCTAAAAATAAGCAGGTACGATTCAATTTCTAATTAATAGTGTATCATGTACGGAAGTGAGAAGGCCTGTGCGCCACTATTTACGATTTGTACAGTATTTCTCCTCACGCTTCACAGCCAGCCATTATATAAACATCGTAAAGGTTCCACTACACTAAATGAGAATCGCTTGCTCGCTGAGCCGGACCATATGTAAACAAGTGAAGAGATACAGAGACATGTGACAGCTGTGATTGGATGAAATAGTGTAAGATGTTTATGTTTTTTAAAAGCATATCCAACCAGTAATTAAAACTAACCACACTTTTAAGTATTTAGAGCTGTGATTTTTATCACCATGACTTATGCTTATTGTGTGTACAGATATTTTCCAGTAGGTGACATTTGGTGCGGAACTGGGGTTGATGTGTTCCGCTTCCTGTGCTCGCAAAACAAGCCTGACAAGTTGGCCAGATATTGTGTTTTATTGTATTTTAAAGGCCAAGGTGTACATGGAATGGCTGTTAAAATAAATATAAGGCTACTATAGAAGTCTATGGGAAAACATTTGGTGTTGTGTAACCTAAACATTGTGTTTGAAGTATATCCGCCTTGCAATGCATTATGGATCTACAATGTGAAAGGGGAATCCTCGTTGCTAAGCAAGTCCGCATCAGCAGATAATGGCTTCATTCAATTTTGATTGGCTGAAATTAATCACCTCTTGGAACGTCGCGTGTTTTCGCGAGTCTTCTCTTGCGGTGAACTCGGAAATCGCTTCACATTCATAGAGAACAATCACATACTGTTTTTGTTAAGGAAAACGTGTCTACGACTAAATACTCGATGAAGGACGTAGTCAGTGAACTTGTAAACAGCGTCGTGCGAAAGTCTTGCTGAAGTCACACGTGGTTTACAAAGGTACGCGGTGAATTAAGGGTCAGGATATCGTGAACGTATTGCACGTTGTGTAAGGCAAAGGAGACTAACAGTGTTGTTGTTGCCTTACAAGGCCAGGGCAAAGAAACTGGAGTAAAAATCATGTGAAGTTAGTTAAAATAGTTTTTGTTTAATTTCTGGGGCCTTATTCTCGGAAAGTACGTAGCCCTAAGAGTTCTTGACTTTGATCGTAGCTAATGTGCTAAGAATGGGACTACGAACGTTTCGAGAATAGCTAGCCTGGTTCTTAGTCCCGATCTTCACTTAATAATTAAATGATGTGCCATAAAAAAGATGGTGTTATTGTTCAACAGTCACAAATATTGCCCGTTATGACAGTGCCAGAAGTATTAGAGTGCACTATATATAAGGTTTTATCAATTTCATAATACATTCTATTTCCTCATACTTTTATATCTTCAATCCTGTAGAAACATAGAATGGCCTTTTTTCGAGATCACCAGGCCTTGAAGGTAATCCCTCCCAAGCTCACGCCTGTGTTTTTACAATTCTACGTCATGGGAACTAACCATTCTGCAGGTTCTAACAACGATTAACTTAACTGGATCAAAGATGTAAAAGTATGGTTAGTTCAGTAAATGAATTCAAATCATATTTCACAACATAGCTCAGAATTTTACAGCACCCAATGACTTAATCCCTTATAACAACACCGGCACAACATCAAGGTACATTGTATTATACTGTAATAACGAAATTCTACTTCACGGCAATACCCCTGCAGAACTATTCTTAACAGTGTAACATTCCGCTGTCAAAACCGGGCCAGCGACTCTGGGAGATTATGAAATGTTAAGTCACTGCTCTTTGTATCCAAAACACACGGCACTTAAAGGTTTAAAGACATAGACGCTCTAGTCACAGCTGACCAAACCAGAACGATTAACAAAGGAAATTAACACGAGCTGTAACAATATGCTCGGCTGGTAGTTAACTTTCTCTTGCTTTGGCTATGCGGATGAACGGTATGTGCACAATCAAGCAAGCATTACTGTTAGTCCCCTAAGCTGCTGGGTGAACGAGAAGACCCCGCTATCAACCTTATAAAACTTGCATAACATGACAGCATCTTATACGGGCATCCACTTGCTTTCAAATTCGGGCATGAGGTCTCAGGTGTAACTACAGGTGTAGCTCGCCACTGAATTCTTTTTGTTTTGCCTGACATCCTCCTGTTTGTTTTTTAAGGTAAGTCACTTTCATTGGTTAAATTTGCGTTACAGCCTTGTAACCTCGCTGCTCTACTGGAACTATTACGTATATAGTTTAGTAATGAGAACATTATGAACGCGCCTTTTCCAGGCTAGATATCTTGCTCAAAGCGCACAATCTGATCATTATTACCCCGGATAACCCAAGCTGCCTGTTAGGCGCTCAAAGGTTAATAGTCTCACGACCTATTTCACCGGGTACCCATTTTCTGCTGGGTGAACAGAGGCAATTTTGAACAAACACACCTGCTTAAAGTGAGGCCACATGTATCACATGTGCTTCGTTGTGGGGCAGGACTGATGTCCTAGAAACTCTCAGGAGTCAAGCTGACAAACACGGTCACCCATCCAATGACTCTGCGCTCGGCGTTGCTTAACTTCAACTGATTTGTGACCTGAGCTCTACGCACAGGACCGCCATGCTGTTCGGTCGCTGTATGTAATTAATTCTGTACAGTTAAAATATATACGTCGTTTAATTAAAGAGAGTCGTTCAGGTCAGTACCTGGTGACACCACCCCTCGCAGCCGTCATTGCACGACACCGCAAAGTCGTCGGATTACAAAGTCGTCGGATTTTGCTTGGAGAATTCTTCGCCATTCCTCCTGCGACGCGGTGGCAAATCTATCTAAGCGTTCGTGTCGACGTCGATAGACACCTTAGCCTAAATTTTCGAAGCTCTCTTAGCGCTACGATAGTCGTAAGTGCCATACATTAACATCTTAGCGCTAAGAGAGCTTCGAAAATCTAGACCCTTGTCTCCAATCCTGCCGTTGCATGAGTTAACGCAATTCATGGCTGAGCCAGACAGTTCCTCAGGCCCCACACACGTACCCTGTTGCACCATTGGATGCGTCGTTGTCGGTGTAGTCGTGTCAGGACAGGTCCAACTTTTGGTCGATCTACTCGACTTCCCACTTCTCTCAGACGAGTTAGTCTGATGGTTTGGTTGGAAATTCTTCGAAGACCAGGCACCTGTCCTGCAGTGTCCGTTGCTGTAGCGAACCGGTGACGTAGGTGAAACACCCGGATGAATCGGCCCTGAGCAGGAGTGGTGGTCACTTTTGGTCTGCCACTTGTGGGACGATCTTTGGTCGAATTGAAGCGGGTATATCGATGCCATAATCGAGATATGGTGATGTGATGGACGTTAAAGCGTCTTGCAACGGCAGACTGGGACTCCCTGCTTTCAAATTTCCAACATGTATAAGCTATTGGTGTGATCTTTTTAGGATGTCCGAGGATCATTATCGAAAACAGTCTTAATTACTTATGAGGAAATTAGATTTAGCTGCTAGAGTAACGTGGGCTACTTCTGTTAAATATTTGTTAAGTTCCTATGGGTTTGGCTTTGTTTGGTACAGTCAGGATGTTGGCGATATTTCTCAGTTTATATAAAGTTTTAAGAATAGACTAATTGATTGTGATAAACAGCGTATATTTGGTAATATTAATCAATCTTCTCATTTGATGTACTTTAAAGAAATTAAGTCACTTTCGAATGTTGAATATTATGTAAATTTTATCAACTAAGTAACTATTAGGGGAAATAGTTACCTCCCTTTACGGTGTAATATACGAGGTGTGAATGGGCATCATTCCCCCAGCCGCCTGTTGTTACAAGCCACTATAATTAGTACCGCTAGCCCTCGCCTGGCTGTTCTGTTAGCTGTACTCACTCCCCTGTAACTGGATTAACTGCTACTAACCATGTTTGATCCCTGGTCAAATGCATATCCGATCTCTGTTGTCTAGTGTCTAGTGGACTCCACCCCTCTAGCCCCCGTCCCTCTAGCTCCCCTGTAGTTACAAGCCACTATAATTAGTACCTCTAGCCCCTCGCCTGGCTGTTCTGTTAGCTGTACTCACTCCCCTGTAGCTGGATTAACTGCTACTAACCATGTTTGATCCCTGGTCAAATGCATATCCGATCTCTGTGGTCTAGTGTCTAGTGGACTCCACCCCTCTAGCCCCCCCAGTCCCTCTAGCTCCCCTGTTGATACAAGCCACTAATTAGTACCTCTAGC